AAAAAAATGGTTTGTTCTTCCAGGACTAAGTTATGTAGTTAGCTTTGTGCGGTGCAGGGGTATCAACTACCCATATGTGTTAGGATTGTGTTGGAAACTAGCTTTGTGCTAGTATTGTATGTGAAATTCTATACGATAACATTTATCATTTGTTAGATATTTATAAGAGTTTTGAAATGTGTATTGGAGTATTTTACTGGGTTAAAACCCATATAGCTCACAAGTCTTCAGACTTATGTATGTTTGTGCTATATACTTAGGTATGGGAGCAGAAGCCAATGTACACTGATAATAGAGACCACAATGGAATAAGAGAAGATTGTAAAATCCTTTTCTCTTTTACAATGATTGTTGGTATTAATTTGTAACACTAAAACTTGTGAACTCTAATAATAATTATTTGAAAGTTTTTGTAAAATCACATTTATTAATGTGAATTGGTGTTTTGAAAGTTCAGTGTTAATTAGAGCATTTTTTTTTTCAATTTGGGTCCGGTAAAATAATGCCCAACTCGGAATCATAGTCTTGAGGGGTTAGATTTGACTTGTTGAATGAGGAGTTGGATGGTGAAAGAGTAATGTTGAAGGAGGAGTTGGATGATGAAGAAGCCATGTTAAATGGGTAGCTGAATGATGAAGAATGAAGGCTAAAGTAGAGAAAATAAGGCAATAAGGAGGATCTAGATGATGAACATGTACAAACGTATGCTTATAAATAATAAACAAATAATAACATGAAATGTGAACTTAAAAGGAGGTAGGAGAAGCCACCAAAACGCCTTATGTTCAATGCATTTAAAGCAAGAGAAGCCACCAAAACGTCTTTTCTTCAATGCATTTTAAGCATCTAATTGTTAAACCCTCGTAAAACAAAAAATCACCAAAACTTCTTCTCGATATCATGCAATAATAGGGCATTGAACTTTCATTTCTTTATAAACAAACAAAATTATTTAGAGTATTCATAAATACTAACCCCTACAGAAAAAACAAAATAAAAAGAATCCTCATCAAATAAAATGGCGAGTTCGCCATTTTGTAAGAAGTATTAACTGATTCTTGAAATCAAGCAAGATTTGGGGAAGGATAGTCAAAGAAGGAAAGAAGTTATGTGTGAATGGGAAGAAATCAATTCGTTAATTGAACATATATGAACACCTTCACGACTCAATAGGAAAAGATGTGCAGAACCTCTTGGCCTTGAACAAGTTGGACGAGTTTCTTGATGCAAGGATATGTGAAAAAAAATGAACTTTAAGTAGTTTTCTTTGGATGTTTTTCTCCTAGTTTAAATATATGTTTGAAGTTTATGATTATTTCCTTTTTCCTTTTTTAGTATATACATATGTCATGTCCATGTTTCACCTTGCATGCATGTTGTGAGAGAGAGGAAGATAGATATATATATCTATATATATATATATATCTATATATATATATATATATTATATATATATATATATATATATATATATATATATATATATATGTTGAATCTTCAACATAACAAACTTTATCATTAGTAACGAAATTAAGCCAAAGACATTAAAATATAAATGTCAATCATGAATATTGTGTGTGTGTGTGAGAGAGATATGTTCAACTCAACAAAATAATGATAATATGTACACAAATTCCTATTTTATGTACAATTTTTTAAGCTTACTGGTAATATGTGCAAAAATTAAGTTTAATGATATTTTTTATACAAAGAGCAAAGGTTATTACCCTATGTATTTATTTCCCCTTCTTCTAACCGGATGTCCAACTCAACAAAAAAACATGAAATCAGCATCAAAACTCGTAATAATAGTATGTTTTGTACAATTTTTAAATTAATGGTAATATGTGCAAAAATTAAATTAAATCTAATCTAATTTTTTTTGTACAAAGTGCAAAGTTTTTTATCCTTCTAAGTCATTTTTCCTTATAAAAACAATAATTTTTGTACTTTAGATGGTTAAATCTTATATAAAATGGTAAAATGATATGTTTGTTACACTGAATGATTAAGAAGAAAAAAAAGAAGCATATCGAATAAATATAGTATTTGTTAGCCTGACAATAACAACATAAGAAGTGGTACAGTACATACATTGTATATATGCGAATTTGTGGGCTGTGAAAGACTAGGCTTGATCTAATAAACATAAAACTGAAACTACAATAATGAATAATGTAATGTAGCAAAAGTATTATTAGATTACATGGACACCCAAATGTTGTTCCCCTCCCCTCCAATCTCTCCACATCCCAAAAACAAATAAAAAATAATTTATTAAATAAAAATAGTTCAGTCAACAGTCACCAGCCTGGTTCGCTTATACGTCACGAACACATAAAAAGCCGGTGCTGTCAAATATAATTGTACAACATTTTAGTAATTTTGGTTTTCTAAGGACAAATATACCATCATCATCATCATCATCATCATCATCTCCATCACCATCATCATCATCATTTAAATGTTGTCCCTACCTTCATATCTTCCACACTTGATAGATAACAATTAACACACACACACACGTGGCTCAGGCAACAAAAATCATCCACAGGTAATAGCTGCTCGCCATAGGTTTGACCGGAGCACTAATTTTAAGCTTGCTGGGTAAGATCCTTGTGCGTATACACAACCCCTTTATCATTGTCCACCACTTGTCCACTTCCTCGCGCAATCCTAAATAAATCCATTAATCAAATTATATATATTATATAATGTGTGCTTATTTCTAAAAAAAATTAAATTATAAATCATACCATCGCGTTGTTAGCAATCCTTCAACTCCTACGGGCCCACGAGCATGAATCCTGCTAGTACTTATACCAACCTGTCATGTCATGTTGTATATACAACCAAACAAATGAAAGACAAAACATTGATAGCCCATAAATGCCCTCCTCATCCTCATCATCAAAAATATCCAAAAACAAGAAATGAAATACATATGATACCTCTGCACCAAGACCAAAACGAAATCCATCACTAAATCTTGTGCTTGCATTATGAAACACAGCAGCACTGCAAAATAAATAAAGATTAGCATGATGTGAAGAATAAACCTCTAATTAAAAAAAAAAAAAAAAAAATGAAACAAGACATTAATTAAAAGTATATATAACCTGTCAACTAAACGCAGAAATATGTTTGCAGCTTCCATGTCTTCTGTTACAATGCAATCAGTATGCGCACTACAATACAAAACAAGTAAGTATAATACACTTTCAATAAACCATGTAATTATGTAATAAAATAAAATATACCCAAATTCAAATAGATTCATAACTTAAGTTTGACTACAATACAAATACATACCTTCCATGCTTGTGTATATGATCAATGGCAGCATGCACATCATCAACAATTTCAATAGTGCACGACATTGAACTGTACTCATGATGAAATGATGGTGCTTGTGGAAGATTAAGCAAAGAACATGCCTTTGGACCACCATTTATACTCACACCTACAACAAATACATCAATGTTTTTTAATCTTTCCATAACATCAGCCTACCCTTTTTCTTTTTTACAAATATAGGCAGTCTACTTTACTTTTTAATATTCATAATACCAATGTACTATGTTGCTGTGATTTGTAAAAACTTAAAAAGAGCATAAATCATGCCTTTGGTTTGAAGTTCAATGAGAAGCTCGTTAACACCACCATTCTGCAGCAACTCTTCATGAACAAGAAGAGTTTCCTGGTAATAAAAAAAACATATTAAATAAATAAATAAAGCAACAAAAATATGTTTTTTTTGCACAACATAACATATGTTGAGAAAGATAGATAAATACCATAGCGTTACAGGCTGCTGGGTAATCTGTTTTTGCATCCAAAACTATGTTTTTTGCTTTTTCCATGTCGGCAGATTTGTCAACATAGACATGACAAATTCCATCTAGAAAGTTAAAAAAGCAAAATTACTGAATCATCCTCAAACATTTTTTTAATTTACATAGAGCATAAATGTTACCAGCATGACCAAGAACAGGTATTAATGTTGCAGACTTTATTTGAGAAACTAGTTCATTGCTGCCTCTTGGAATCACAAGATCGATGACATCATCAAGCTGCATCAGAATTTTAAATTCTCATTTTTTTTGTTATTTAAAATAAAAAAATAAATTTTTTGAACATTGAGATTAATAAAACAAAGAACCTTGAGTAATTCAGGAATTTCTTCTCTAGAAGTCACGAGACCGATTAACCCTTTACCAACTGTGTCTGGGATGCATTGAGTAATAATCTATTTTTTTGGAAAATGGATAAAAAATAAAATCAATAAAGTGAAAAGCTATGAGAAATGCATTTATATGAATCGATTAATTTTTTTTTTTTAAAAAAAAGTTGACCTTGTGCAAGATTGCATTAGACCGTTTTGCTTCCTTTCCTCCTTTTAATAAGAGCCCATTCCCAGTTCTGATGGCCAATGATGCTATCTGTTCACATCAAGGGAATATTTATGATGCGCATGATAAAAAAAATAGAATATTACTTTTTGGTCCCTGAGTATAGATGCTTTGTGCAGTTTTGGTCCCAAAAAAGTTTTCTCTAGCAATTTTGGTCCTAATTTGTGGTTTTTGTAACGTTTTTGATCCTTGTTCCATGTAAAATGACTATATTTAGCAACCATAAATAGTCATTTTACTTGGAACAGGGACCAAAACGTTACAAGAACCTCAAATAAGGACCAAAATTGCAACAATCATCTATACTCAGGGACCAAAAATGTAATATACTCTATTTTTTTTTGTTCAATGTGTATACCTGAACTAGTGCTTCAGGTCGTGACTCAAAGATAACAAGTAGGACACCCAATGGAGATGACATTTTTTCTAAGATGAATCCATCTGACAGCTGGATGCAACAATTGTTATTAAAGAAAACAATAATACATGTCATTTAATAAAAAATAAAGCAAACAACAATTGTTTCATTTCTTACCTCTGTTCTCTTTAATACTTGACCAATTGGTTCTTCCATTTTTGCAATCACACGAATTGCTTTTGCAAGACTAGAGACCTATAACATATGACAAAAACAAAATTCAAAGAATAAAAAAAACAAATCTAAACCAATAAAAACCACAAAATTAAAAATATGACTTGCCTTCCCAGGCTTGAGAGCCAAACGAGATACTAATGATGATTCATATCCATCATCTTGTGCAGTTGCCACATCAGCTTCATTTTCATGTAAAATCATTTTCTCATTTGCTTCCAGTGCATCAGCTATAGCTAGTAAGATTTTACACCTCTCTTCTGCAGGCATGGCCTGCATTAACATTTTTACTAATGAGTAACATTTTTTGTAGATCAATTTATTATAATCATGGAATCAGAAAATCTAATCATATTCATACCTGAAGGAGTCTAGAACTTTCTCTTGCAGCAACTGCCATTTCACGTGCATTTAACTCCCCACTTGGGATCCATGTATGAGCATCTCTGTGGAATAGTGTACCAATGCGTTGTCCTCTAAGAACTTTTACAATATTGTCCCCAGCAAAGCCACTTCAAGTTTAATAAAAGACATCATATGTTAAATTAATTATGGTATTAAAGAATTTAAAGCAATGTCAAATCTGAGAGAATACCTGGTGATGACAACAGGGATGCCAGCTTGTGAAGCATAAACTGCAGCTTTTACTTTAGCAGTCATACCACCTCTTCCTAGCCTAGACTTATCACCAAAAGTAATTGTATTCTCCAGTTTTTCCTTGATGTATGTATAAATCAGCTTTGATTGAGGATCACTAGGAGGCCCACTATACAGCCCATCTACATCACTTAACAGCACAAGAAGATCAGCTTTCAACTCCAAAGCCAGTAAGGCTGCCAGGCTGTCATTATCCCAGAATATACCAGAAGAATCCTGTAAAAATTTGCAGGCGATAAATAACAGATACACATGTATAACGTGTTGTGTATATACACATACAAAAATCAAGCAAGATGTACCTCATATGGAGCTCTGCGGGTGCTAATGGAATCATTCTCATTGAATACAGGAATAACTTTTAAAGATAACAAAGAATCCACGGTTTCAGTAAGTTGTTTCCTAAATTCTGAACTCCTAAAGTCATTATCAGTCACGAGAAGCTGAGCTGATGTCACATCCAGTTGGCTAAACAGTGTATCATAAAGTGCCATAAGACCATTTTGTCCAACAGCTGCACATGCCTTTCCATCAAGCTCAGCTTGTGGTTTCTGCAGATCCGCAAAGCTTCAAAATAAGAAAAATCATCAGTCATCAAAAATCTATTTAAATTAACAAAAACTATGAGTTAGTTACAGTTTACCTGCTGTTGATTAGTTTCCTGTATCTAAGCCTTTGTCTACCAGCTCCAACAGCACCAGATGACACCAAGATAACCTCAAATCCTTGAGAATTTAGTGCTTGGATCTGTAATTAAGAGATAACTATCATTATGAGCATTCAAGGCATGTCAATTTTGTTTGCGATTTTGTGTTTTGTGATAATAATTTACCTGCTCGCAAAGTGCTCCTAATCTTCCCAGAGCAAGTCTTCCATCATCTCGAGTGACAACAGCTGTCCCAACCTAATAAATCCAAAAGTTATTGTTGGAAAAATCTAAGAACACACATGAACAGGGCTCAGATGGCAAAATTAGCTACGGATTACCACTGATCTCACTACAGTTTCCATCTTAATTTACTATCCAACACTACAAAATCCTACTACCAGTGATAGAATTAAACCCTTGAAGAAACAAAACAGAAAATTACGAAGAACACACCGTTCAATTTCCAATCTAACAGAATCAAAACTATGCATGATCAAACACGCACAAAATCAACCAAACAAATAAAACAAAATTTCAAAATTCGTGAATGCCACATGCAATACCGGAATTCAGATTATTTGGGGATCAAAGTAACAAAAAAGCTGGAACTAGTAATCAATACGATTAAACTGAGTGTAATCAACAATTCACCTTGATAACGATACGCTTAACATCTTTAAGAAATCCGCGAGTTGGATCGATTGCGTCCATTGTTGAAAGCTTAAAGTGTGTGTGTATCTCTGTGTGTGTGATTTGGCGCCTGTCTTCTTCGACGAATGAGATAACGACGAGGAAACTCGTTTACGACTCTCTAATCGTAGGGTTCCACTTCCATCTGATTCTGCAGTAATGATTTATCCGCGTATATATATACACATGCAAATCGACATTTCGATCAGTCTGGTTTTTGCTTTCTAACAGTTTTGGTCACTCTATTTCCATTTCTCACATTTCAATCCATCGGTTTATCTTTTATTTTTTTACAAACCTGTAGTCGTCAATCAGCAGGTTTGCATTTTCCCAAAAATGTGGATAAATTAAATAAGTAAGGAATTATTTGTTTTTATATAAAATCACCATTAGAATGTAGCCGAATGAAACTTTGTGTCATAAAATAATATTATTTTAATATTTTCTTCTAACTTTACAAGGTCATAATTTGTTTATTCTTTTATTAAGGTTATAAGGAGTGATCGACAAATAAGGAGTTGGAGCTGAGTTAGAGCTCGGTGGTCTTGGCATACACAACCCCCTTACCTCGGCACTACAAGTTTCCTTCTCTCCTTAACTTGTGGTTACCAAACGACAAGAAAAAGAAGAAGAAAAAGACAACAATGACTGAGGTGAAGTTCAGTGGTCTCGACACCACTACCCCAGCCTAATTAAGATAGATTATTTTAACATTGTTTAGTTTTATATATCTTATTTCTATTCCAACCTTTCATGTTCCTTAACATTTGCATTTTGTTAGTCTACTAAATATCCAAAATCACTATTTTCTATCGTGTGAAATTATAATTTCACAATTTCTTCCATATTTACCTTTTGACTTTCATCTAATAATACTATAATTACACAAGTCCAAATAATTTTTTTTTAATGGTCATACTTAACTTTAATTTCCTTGTTGATCCTGTAAAATGACTAAATAGTCATTTTGACCATTTTACCCTTATTACAACTTCTTATATTTTACAAGTCCTTTTCTAAATCATTTTCTACTTCTTTTTTTATTCTATAAACATCCATAATTTATAGATGTTATAAATATATACCCCTTAAAATGATTCAGTTTTCGGAGTCACTTAAAATGAAATGGGATTAAGTTATGCTCACATCGTTAGTTTGACCAAAATTTTGAACTGAAATCTTAGTAACACTTTACTTCAATCATTTTCCTTGTTGATCAATCAATATGTTGATTATCTTTTGATCAAATAAAGTATTGATTCATTATTTCATATTTCTTTTAATCCATACACATTTTAGATTTCTCCTTCTTTGGAACGTTTCTATGAATTAAATTTAGTATGATTAAATAATTAATTTGAATTCCCATTTATAATTATCATGTCTTTTAATTCTTGATCATTTGATCTCAGTAAACATTATCATTATCCTTTTAGGTCCTCGAGTTCTTATAGACATTTACCATTCTTTAACCATCAAACATCAATGTCTACATTTGGCAACACTTCTTCTATCGTCCATGTTTTCACTTGGCCTTGTACCATTCCATAGCATGATCAATCATATTTAAACCTTTATATCCAAATGCTTTTCAAGTTTCTAAATACTTTATTTCATCAAGTATTAATGTTATATTTCTAGATCAAGATGTTCTCATTTTATTTTTTATTGATCCAATTTATACACTATTAACCTTTAAGGTTTTCTTGGTATTTTTATTACTTGTACATCTTTTCCATTGTATATTCTTATGTTGATTTTTTACAAAATTATTATTCACACTCACTATCTATTTTATTCTCTTATTTGCCATATCTAAGGTTCCACTATTACATGGTTACCTTAGGTTCATTCTTTGAATCTATGTTTGGTTCTGACCATTGCTCAACAAGAGAGATTACTCCAGTTTATTCCATCTAAACATTCCAATTAGTGTTTCATTTGGACATTCATTTTCTTGAACTCCAATTCAAAGTTTCATATCCCTTAATGTCCCTTTCTTTTAAATAAGTCATTCAAATTTGTATTTTTTGGTTACTTTGTATTCCATAAATATGTATCTTACAACTTCTAAAACACACACACACACACATATATATATATATATATATATATATATATATATATATATATATATATATATATATATATATATATTATTGAATTCCATTTCTATGAGCATTTCTTCCTTATAAAAAAATAGTAATTACAATTTAATTACTTATTATGATTAAGTTTTGTCATGCCATTTTATTTACCCCTTAAAAGTATCTGAGGGACATTTTTTTCTAAGGCTCTATTTATTACATGTTTTCACAAGACAATAGTACTTTTCTTTTATTTCTTTATGAAATTCTCCAATCTCTCTTTTTTATTCATAACTCATTTGCTATTTACTAATCACACATTGAATGATAATTTTCTTTCATTTAGTAGTCATTTATCTTGAAATAATATGTTTTCCATATGTATGATTGTAACGTCCCAAAAACATGACCCAAAATTTTCATATATAATTTAATAAAAATAGTATTCCAAAGACATCATCAATACAACCTAAATAAAATAAGTGTATCAAACATCATCTCAAATCAGAGTAATCACAAAAGCGGAACTATGTGGTGTGTGCAATGCAGTCATCCCAAACTCTTCCCCTTGGAACCAGAAGTACCTAAAACATAAACTGAAAACCGTAAGCACAAAGCTTAGTGATTTTCCCAAACTACCCAATATCATACATAATAAACCTCATACTGGGCCCCCGCCCTCCATCGGGCCCCGCCCGGTATCGAGTCCCACTCAGCTTTGGGCCTCGCTCGGTATACAGATCTGTTATTCTTAGGCCTCGCCTGACATCGGGCCCCGCCCACTATGCACATAGACATATAACACATAATCATACTACCACATGCAATGATCATAAACAATATCATACGATACAGTCATCGGGCCTCGCCCGACATCGAGCCCCGCCCGGTATACATAGCAACACATATCACATGCAATGGTCACGCAGACTCCTGGCATCCTAACATAAATAACAAGGGAAGATTTGTGGCTGCTGGTCCGACGAATCCCTGCTGAATCTCACTGAAAATTCGTGGCTGCTGGTCCGACGAATCCCCGTGCTATCAATACAAAATAACACCCAATTTAACATTCGGGTTCCAATCCATATCCAACAATCCATCCTTGGAGTAAAAAGACCATTTTACCCATCACCTAGTTTGGTCCAAGACTAAGGCCCAAACTCACAATCTAAAAGGCCCAAAACCAATTAATCATCCAAGGCCCACTTATGACCCAATTTTCCAAATTGGGCCCAAACCCTTACATGGGCCTAACCCTAAAGTCCACCAATTCTCTTAGTCTAAACACTTATCTTCAGATGGCCCAACAAGACCCTATGCATCAAAGCTCAAAAGAATGGCCCAAAGAATGTGAAGCCCAACAGACTGAGTACGCAGGGCATACTCAGCACGTACACGCAGCGTACTCGCTTGAGGGCTTGTATGCTAAGCGTACCTGCTTGTAGGCCCAACACACTCACCCGTCCAGCCCAAACTCGAGTTAAGCACTTAATGCTTAAGACCAAAAGTCCAAACCACAAATCTAAGTCCTAATAAGCGTCTAGAACCATAAAGTCACTGACTTGGTGACTTTGCATGCCCCAAAAGGATCCAACTTCAAGATATAGCACTCTACTTTCACTAAATGAACACAATCTCATGCATGGGTGATTCTAAACCCTAAAGGTGCCAACTTTATGGACTTTGAACCTCAGAAACACCAAGAGTGGCAACTCAAAGCTCTTGGAGTGGTGTCAAACCACTATATCTCATTCATGGGCCAAAAAGGGGTCCAAAACTCATATATGCTAGATCTAAACCAGTAATGAACAAGATCAAAGCTTTTTACCTCAAGCAAGCTGGAAATGGAGTAGAGAATCAAGATCCACAAGCTCTTCCTTGATCAACAATCTTGCACCAAGCTTCTACTTCTTGATTATGGACCAAAACACACCAAAATGGACACAATGAGCTCAAAACACAAAGGAAAGGTTTAGGGTTTCGTGCATGAGGCTATAAGGTCGGTGGAGGCTGAGAAATTAGGGTTTCATGAGTCATAAATGTGTTTATATTATGTCCAACCCCGAAATTAGGATTTTCATTAAATCACACATACGCCCCGCGTACGTGTCCGGAATCCTGTCATGGCCTCGCATGAGTACGCTAAGCGTACCATGTGGTATGCCCCGCGTACTCGCTTCAATGCTTGTACGCCAAGAGTACCATATGGTACGACCCACGTACTACACAAGGACCAAAATGCAACTTATAAATACACAAGGGGCAATAATGAAACATACCAGGATTCAAGTGTTACAATTCTCTCCCACTTGAATCAGACTTCATCCTCGAAGTCCGCTGCCCCGAACAACTCCGGATAGTGCTCGCCATCTCATATTCGGGCTCCCAATTGCACCTTCACCAGATCGACAACCTTGTTCCTCAACATTTTCATCTTCCGATCCAGAATCGACACCAGTCTCTCAATATAATTCTGGCAGGCATCCACCTAAATATCCTCCAACGGTACCACTGCAGAATCATCCACTAAGCGCTTCTGCAGCTGAGAGACGTGGAACGTGCTATGAATCTGACTGAGCTCATCGTGAAGATCCAAGCGATAAGCAACACGGTCCACCCGAGCCAAATCCCTGAAATGACCAATACACGTGGGGCCCAGCTTGACCCGCTTTCTGAACCGGATGACACCTTTCCAAGGTGATACCTTCAAGAGAACCATATCTCCCACCTGGAACTTTAAGTCTGACCGGCGCCTGTCGGCATAAATCTTCTTCCGACTCTGAGTTGTATAGAGCCTGCTTCGAACCTGCTGAATCAGCTCAGTGGTCTTGAGTACCACTTCGGTACTCCCCATAACCCGCTAACCGACCTCGCCCCTGCAAATCGGGGTCCTGCATTTTATCCTATAGAGAATCTCAAAAGGAGGTCGATCAATGTTGGCGTGATAGTTGTTGTTATACGAAAATTCCGCTAACGGAAGATACGTATCCCAACTCCCACTGAAATCCAAAACACACGCCTGCAACATATCCTCTAGGGTATGAATCGTCTGCTCACTCTAACCATCAGTCTGCAGATGGAATGTTGTGCTGAAATAGATACGAGTGCCCAAATCGTCATGAAA